CAAAGATACAACTTAAACTCTGGATGTATATAAAAATACAAGTAACTCTATGTATATAATAATACAAAATACTTATGTGGGAGTTTCTCTAACCGATAACCATCACTTAAGAGCTATTGTGATGATACAACGTTTTGCCTCACGCTGTTAGGGCCGTACTATACCTTGCCAAGGGCATAGAACCTAACTACTAAGTGGATCCACTAGTCTATGCTGAAAAGCACTAAGAAATCATCTAAAAAGTATGACCATTTTTCTACCCATGGTGGCTACATGGTTTATGGGGGCTGGGAGTTGTCTGAACTCTCCCCCATATCGGTGTTCAATACTACTCCCAAAATATGATACTAGCTCTTATGTTTAAAAACATAACTCTGTGGTTTGAGATAATTATTCAAAAACTAGACTGAAAGCTCTCTTGGAAATCAATGTTTCCTCTCTTACTTAATTGTGAAAGCACTTATTGTTTGCTGAAATATAGCTCAAAGGCTCTTTTGGAAATCTCAGTTTCCTTTCTTGTTTAAATGTGAAAACATTTTACTCTTTGGGAATACATAGTCCCGATATACTCTTTTAAAGAAAATGAACTTCAATCTTTACTCTTTACTCAACTCAAAACTCAGGTCTTAAAACAAAGTTAAATCATTTGTAAAAGACTTTTGGAAAACTCTATGAACTTCTCTTGACTTGGCTCTTAACTTTCCTTGAATTTGAATTTATGGATTCAAGGATTGTGATTTGTGATAGGATAGATCTCACGATGTTTAGGAGTGTTTTTAGATAGTTAAACATGAGAAACGATCAAGAAATAATTGTCTGGAAGCAAATTCGCGATGCGGATGCATTTAATTATTTGGTCGCGAAATAAATTTTGAGGCAGAACAGTCTGTGACCGCTCCGCAATGCGGGAGAGATTTCTGTGAAATAGGGGGCTAGTTCCGCGACGCGGACTGGGTCTCCAGATTCGCCCGACTTTTTCCTTCTTTGTTTTCTAACCCCAATTCGCCTAAATTCGATTCATTTTCTCAATTCCTCTTTAGATTCAGATACCGAGAACATATACACTAGAATATAACTCAAAACAATTCTAACAATCGACCAACTCTCAAGAACTCCTCAATCTCATCCCAATTTCAAGAACGAAAGCAATTCAAAAGAAGAAGTAACCCTACAAAAGAAACCTAAGGTCCTATTTATAAAATTTGAGAAACTAATTCCTTTCTCTCATATGATTCAGAATTAAGGATATTTCGTGGGGATGACCCTGGCGTGGAGCGCTACCAGTGCGCCAGGATGGTGCTTTTGAAGTTGAAGCCCTAGTGCGGCGCGCCAACAGTGTGCTAGGATGAGTGCTTCTGAAGTTTGTTGGTTGGGGCTGCGCTCCAAGGATGTGCCTCAACCCGCATTATCACTGTTTCATCCGTTGTGTGCTCCTTGGAGTTGCGTTCACACTTCTCTTCTTTGTACTAGCTCTCATGGGCTCAATTTCCCTTCAAAAACTCCTGTATAATCTAATCACATGTCTTAGTGTGCAATCATTGTAAGTTAATTCAAACATAAAAACATAGCATAAAGATATTTCTCAAAACACAAGATATATGTGGGGAACTATTATAAATAGACATATAAATAAGCCTAAGATCACTACCCATACTTAAACCTTTGTTCGTCTCGAATAATCTCTAAACTATTAATTCACCATTAACCCCTAAGGAGTTTTCCACCCGCACTAGAATCAGCAAAACACTTTTAATCATTCTTTTGTAGTTCACCCTTTATGAAATTAATATAATATCATTTCAAAAAGTCAGTATACAAATCGACACAACATAACCTCAATGAATGACTTGTCCCCAGCAACTGCACCAAACACTTGTTTCTCCTAAATGCACACACAAGTGTATGCAGTTGAAAAAGTAATAAATGACACTTTCAGAATCGGATTGTCGAAACCAAAGTACTTATGATCAATTTATATTCAAATCAACTAATTCCACAAATTAGAGAAAGTGTTTTCAAGAATCTTGTATTTTCTATACTATTTTTGCAAATAATTCAACTTTGAAAGTAAGAAATAACGACACTACAATTTTGGTGTTTTAAACGATAAAGGGGCAATTCTATTGTTGCAACATACTTAAGGTTTCCTGTATCCCATCTCTCTCATGAATTAATTATGGTTATCATTATTGTTTTACAAGGTTGGCATTATGATCATGATCTCTCGACCTCCAACCGCCTAATCCAGTTGACTGTCTAACTACATTGTTGAGCGGGGATAGACAGACTCAATTGGCGAGAATTTATATTTCATCATGCTTCTTAACCAAGCATGGTGTTCGTTCGGGTGTCAATTCTAAATACAAATATAAACAAGTGGTATGGAAGAAAGATTGTGCTCTTTGTATTTTTTGGTCTATCTAACTATTCATCTCTCGAGCTTGAGAATAGACAATATATTTATCTCAATAGTGGTCAGTCATGAAATATATTAAAATAAGAATACAAAAGTAATTTATGTGCTACCCAGATTAATCCATAGAAATCAATGTTCAACAATCACCCATGGTTACAAAACCAAAATAAAGGCTTATAGACACTCATAATCATCAAAAACATAAACAAGATTGTTTTCATGTAATTCAAGACTGAAGAAAAATTAGAAAATTGAAACCTTAGATGAATTATTTATCACTTGCTCTTGCACACGAAAAAAAAACCCTACAAGAGAAGCCTAAGGTCCTAAGTATAAAATTTGGAAAACTAATTTTTTTCTCTAATAGGACTGGGAATCCTTAAAATTAAGGATTTTTCATTGGGATGACCTTGGCGTGGCACACACCAGTACACAGGGTGGTGTTTTTGAAGTTTAGCCCCGGGCTATCAAGGTGAGTGCTTTAGAAGTTTGCTGGTAAGGGCGGTGCGCTAAGGATGCGCCTCACCGCAAATTTTCACTATTTCATCCGTTGCGTGCTCCTTGGAGTTACGTCGACGCTTCTCTTCATTGTACTAGTTCCCATGGGCTCAATTATCCTTCAAAAACTCTTGCATAAGCTAATTACATGTCTTAGTGTGCAATCATTGCAAGTTCATTCAAACATAGCAAACAACATAAAGATTATTATCAAAACACAAGATATATGTGGGCGACTATTAGTAATTAGGCATATAAATATGCCTAAGATCACCACCCCCACACTTAAACCTTTATTCATCCTCAAACAATCTCTAAACTATTAATTCACTATTAACCCCTAAGGACTTGCCCACCCATAATGGAATTAGCTAAACACTTTTAATCATGTTTTGTAGGCCACCCTTTATGCAATTAATATCATATTATTTCACCAACTTAGTATACCAATTGACACAACAAAACCTCAACTTAGTTCACACATGCAATGAAGGTCCTCTCATGAAACCATAAACTCACACATGTTCCTCTCATGGAACCCAAAGTCAAACTACTAGTGTATCAACATGGTACCCGAGGCATCCGTAGTTAGTGTACCAACATGAAATCCGGACCAACCATTTATGAATGTTCTCATATCAAGCGTGGTATCCGAGCCAACCGTTGATGGAGACTTGATCTTTCTCTAGCCCGAGGAAGAACATTAGCTTTCTTGGAGGAAACCTTTGATCTTGGAATCTTGGTGCTTGATCTTGAGAAAAGAAACTCTTTTATGGAGTTCTTAGAGTGGAAGAACATGGGGAAACCTTGGATGAAAGGCTTCTCATTGTATCTTGAATTTTTTTATATGGAAGTTTTAGGGTTCTTGATGGAGAAGAGGAACCCTAGGTGAGTTTTGAGAGAATATTTGGAGACTTGAATGTCTAGATTGATAATTATGAGAGGAAAACTAGTTAGTTGAATGATATACTTCTTTAAGACACTCAAAAACAACTTAAAATAAGGTTGAAAAGCGTGGAAAAGTACCAAAATAACCCCGGAACACGTGCAAAAAGTTTCTAAAAATAATCGTAACAAGCCTTCACAGAAGGCTCCACGGTCTGTAGAACACTCCATCGTCTGTAATGCCGAATGTGAAAAGCCTGACATGGCTTCACTAAAACGGGCAAAACTTTTTACTCCAAACCTCAATTAATGCAAACTTGTTGCCATATGAATGAAGGCTCATAAAACTTTAATATGATAGGTTATGGGCTACCTAACACTTCATATTCTAATAGATATGATCGTTTGATGTTGATCCAAGTAATATCTTATATTGAAACTCAATCGGTAATGAAGCTTTCAACTCAACTTTGTGCTAGAGGATTTCTATGACCTTAATTCATCTCCAAATCTATTCTACACTAAAGAATTGACCTTAAACCTATGTACAATAAGAATCACCCAATACGACCTTAGACACATATGAAGAATGGTTCGGCTCTTGGATTAGAAATATTCAGGGTGTTACATAGAGACACAGCTGTATAAAACAGATTTTAGAACATAAAATTAATAAATAGTATAGAAGATAACAAGCTAGTCTATGTTAAGCAAAGAGAAGCGAAGCAGGAATTGTGTTAGCAAAGAATTCTAGATCTTGGTCAAAAAAGAGATTAAGAAGTGCTTGAGAGCAAAGAATTCAGATGGAGTGTTAGCTAAACGGGTCGGATCATAAATGGTCTGAAATGGATAGAAGGAATTTGGAAAAGAAAATGTACCAATTTAGTAAACAAAGCAAAACAACTATTCCTATACTAAAAGAATTTGATATTTAAAATTGGGGATGAATAATTTGATTTTAAGCTTGTCACGTGGTCATCCATCAAAATTACAAAAAGATTTATTTCAAAATATAATAAAAGGGACATATTTAGACTGAAAATATAACCAAAAAATATATTTAAACTAAAAATATAATGAAGGTATATAAACTTTATTTGTTTTTAATAATATAGAAGTATATGTATTTCATCCTTGTCCTTAAAAAAATTTGGATATATGTAAGTTAAATAGGAGGATGGAAGATGGAATATTTTAGTGTTTTAGTGGGGAAGAAAAGAAAAGAAAACGAGGATAATAGCGCAGAAAATGAAAATGAGATGGCATCAGAGGTATGAAAGTTGAAATGTAAAAAGAGCTGTATTCTCAGTAAGGAAAGAAATGGAAGTTTAGCGATCCGACATTGACAAAACCCTATTTGCTGCAGAATTCCCATGATCTCACCTGATTTGGGAAGGTAAACGATAGAATAATGATAAATAGTACCGTTGATGACAACGGCCACGCCCAAATTCCTGATCAGCAGCAACATCACTGCCACTGTTGCCAATTTCATAGTCAAAATCAGCACAAGCCCGTACCCGTACCCAAGTGCCTACCAAAGCGCATAATTTTGGTTCGTCACGGCGAGAGCGAAGGTAATAAAGACGACGCTATGTACACCGTCACCCCCGATTATAGGATCCCTCTAACTCCCAAGGGAATTGATCAAGCCAAGGATGCTGGCTCTCGCATTTTTGACATCGTTTCTGATAATGGCTCTGAGGATAACTGGAAGGTCTACTTCTACGTTTCTCCATACGTGAGAGCACGTTCCACCCTACGGGAGATAGGCAGGGCTTTTTCCAGACGGAGAGTTCTTGGCGTCAGGGAAGAATGCCGAATTAGAGAACAAGATTTTGGTAATTTTCAAGTGGCCGACCGCATGAAAGTCATCAAACAGACTCGCGAGAGATTTGGCCGCTTCTTTTATCGATTTCCTGAGGGAGAATCAGCAGCTGATGTTTATGACAGAGTTTCCAGTAAGATCATTTTCTCTCTACCTACTTCATTCTTCTCTCCACCAATATATCACTATCAACTTACGATTTACCTTATATTACGAGATAGGGATGCCCCGATAGACCCCGACTAAAATAATGCCTGCCAAGCAGTCTGAATAAAAGGGATACAGATATGGTAGCAATAACAACAACAAACAAATCAATGCGAAATGGGGAGTGTTACTCAACAAACAGGGGATAGAACACTAACAAAAGCAAGATAATGTGATAAAATCAGACTACAAAAAACACTAGTAAAAGTCAAAATCGAAAAACACAAAACTACATGAAAGTTCTAATACTACTGATAAGAAGAAAGGTCACCAAGCCTATTTAGCAGAGAAACGATAGAACCCTCAACTACCAACTAACATTCCATCCTAATTCGTGACCTCAAAACTCTCCTATCTATGGTCATGTCCTCGGTAAAATCAAGTTGTATCATGTCATGTCTAATCACTTTCCCTCAATACTTTCTCGGCCTACCTCTACCACTCCTGACGTCCGCCAATGCCAACCGCTCACACCTCCTCACTAGGCATCTACACTTATTCTCTTTACATGTCCAAATAATCTCAATTTCGCTTCCCTCATGTGGTCCAGCATGGAGGCCCTCCTACCTGTCCATGATATCTTTTTTCCTAATCTTGTCTCTCATATTATGTCCACACATCTACCCCAATATTCTCATCTCTGTGACTTTCATCTTGTGAACATGAGATTTCTTAACTGGCCAACACTTCCGCCCCATACAACATGGTTGGTCTAACCACCACTCTGTTCAGAAGATGAAGTCGATCTAACTTATATACACTCATTGTAAAAAGTACTTTTACCTAATCTCTGTATTTTTTTCATGGCAAGTTATTTACCAAATTAGATTTAGTTTAGAGAGGTTGTCAAACAAAAGGATTTACTCTAGAGAGTTACAAATATTTAGTTGTGCTTGCATGGATAACTTGCTACATATTCAAACAAGACCCTTAAAATAGATAAAAACAATGAAGTAACTAACAATACGAGACCAGGTATTAATGGAATCATCTTTAACTAATGCCAATGTCAGGGCACAAAACAAAATATAACCCCAATTGTTTATTGTAGTTGTATGATGTCATGTTCATAGTTACGAAAAAATTGTATTTTGGTTTCTAATACACATTAGATCAAGTTTGGCTTAAGATTTATCGCCACTATGCTTCATTGAGATTCAACTCAGATAGAGAAATTTAAATTTGGAGCGACTCTATTTAAGAATTACTGCATATCATGTGGAACTTTCTTTGTGATAGTCTAAGACAGTAAGTAGATCGATATGTTTGGGTGCAATTCTTTTTGTTTTGAATCCAATCTGTACCTAGCCAGCAAATCCAGAAGTAGTGAGTGGGAGGAAATGCTAGGTTTGTTGGACATGAAAAGTAACCCCAACAGCTCATGCATTAAGGAATCTAAGATGTTTTGAAGGAAAAAGCAACCCAATCCAGAAGATAAAGCTAAGTTGTATTTTGCTTTTTCATTTTTGGTATAAAACAAGAGTATATAGAAGACATTAAGTCTCTATTGCAAGTTTAAGAGTCGCTATAGAGAAGTAGATTTTTCTCATACTCTCTATAATTGTGGCTTTCATAGCTATGATCTAATACAAGTTGTTGCCATTTCAAACAAATAAAATAAACAAATTGATGTAATTAAGCAAATTGGACTGCGTTAGCATGTGTTTGGCATGCTAGGGTTAAGATAGAATTGAGATTTCTTGCCGAACTATTAGTTTAAGTCATTAAGCATGTAAATTACTTCAAGTAAATAAGCAGGTGGGTGGTCTGTTTCTAACATGCATGAGTAATGATAATGTCAAATTCTTGGATCACTTATTTTTGACATGTCTACGTTAGTAGAAAATGTTGCCAGCCGTTTTTCAGCTAACCACCTCCTAATTGCTTAACATGTTTCTCAGTTTTGGTCAACTTCCTGACAATATCTTGACAAGTTCAAATAGGAAGATTCAGTATCGACTATCTTACTCAACTAATGGACCTGTTGGGTAATGTTCTATTATACATTCTAGAACATTAGATAATGGAAAAAACTGAAGTGTAGATGCCATGTTTGAATATTCATGATAATGGGAACATGATCACAATTCTATCCATTTTCATGATCACAAGTTTTCTGATGCTAAAGTAATACATCACTTATAGCTAACACCACCTATGTAGCATGAAAGGAGGAGATGGCTTATGGAGACAAATTAATCTGTACAGCCCTTCCCCTTCCCCTGCGTAAACGCGGGATGCTTTGTGCACCAGGTGGCCCCTTGCCCTTCCCCCCTAATAATTCCATTAAGTTTAGACCTAAAACATCATCATGTACGGCATTCACAATTATCATTGGAGTTAATGGTTGCTAGCATATCTATTTACGGCCAAAATAACCTTGTCCTTGTCTTACAGTTGTGTATATATTTTATCTCAAACTTTTTCTTGTGATTGAAAGCACACCCATTCCTTAAAAATTGCCTCCATTAGATGGCTAATGTCATCCAAGATACTAGATATTGTTAACCAGGAGTGCTGTTGTTCATGAAATGTGTCCTGCCTTCCTGAGATGTAAAACTCAATCTATAATCTGGCCCTTCCTGCCTATGACCAGGATGCATACTCAGAATTCATGCTCATTCTAAACTAAGAATTCGATAGCAGCATGGCTTACGTCTTTTATATGCCTTTGTAAACATTAGTCTTCACTTGTAAGAAAATTAGTCTTCATGCTAAATAATATTTTTTTCTGATTCCATTATGGTATAAAGTTGTTTTAGACTTGCTTTTGCAGAATAAAACTCTGCCTTTTGTGAAGCATATTGTGTTATACGTGAGAAACTAGAAGTCTCAAGAATAGTGGTAATGTCAATAACTTACAAAATGGTACTAAATTGGTATCATGTGTTTAATGGTGCTGAAGAATATATGAGTGTTCATGGTGTATGGAATAACATAACATCATTATGTCATGTTACACATTTATATCATACACGCTACCATAAGTTGTATGTACCTAGAAAGATTCCTTCTACTCTGGTGATAAATACGTGACCTCTCAGTTATTACCAGAAACAAAGTGCAACATCTTGTTCAATACACTTTAAGGACTTGCTCCAACGCACTTCCATTTCAAGATAAAGAGATTAAGAATTTGCTTATTGGTGTTAGATATAAGAGCATATTCCAAATTGAGTGCAATTTTAGTGTATGGACTTTTGGTTGTATTTTTCTCAATTGTGTTTGTTGAAAACTTTTTTGATGTAGGTTTTCTTGAATCTCTTTGGAGGGACATTGATATGAACAGGCTCCATCATGACCCTAATGACGATTTGAATCTTGTGATTATATCTCATGGTCTAGCTAGTCGTGTCTTTCTGATGAAATGGTTCAAGTGGACAGTTGAGCAATTTGAGTATCTAAGCAATTTAGGAAATTGTGGATTTCGAGTTATACAATTAGGGCTTGGTGGTGAATATAGCTTAGCAGTCCACCATACTGAAGAAGAGATGCTGGAATGGGGACTATCCCCTGAAATGATTTCAGACCAAAAATGGCGAGCGCATGCTAGCAGGAGTTCATGGAAGGACAAATGCTCTTGGTACCTTGATGCTTTCTTTGACCATTTAGCTAATTCAGATGAGGATGATTATGATGAAGTGAAATCAGACTTTTCTGACTAGTTTAGTGATGTTTTTGGTGCATTACTTGCATTGTGTAGTTTGATGAGTAATGAATTTGGCTATTGACGGTGGTAGTTATAGATCCATTCAGACTTTTATGTAGTACTCCACTTTTGGGGGTTCAAAGCATTTGATTTTGTTGCATTCAATACCAAAAATATGGTGGCTCACGAGTAAGACCACTAAAACATATGTTTAGGCGTCCTAGAGTCGAAAACTCTTAAAACTTTGTTATTATTATATAATTATTCATTAATATGTTTATAGATTTGTATACGAAAAGTCAGTATCGTATGTCTTATTGTACAACTTGAGAAATGTTTTTTCAATATAATAAAATGTTAGTCATTTGTTACAATACAATCAAACATCTTATTGATAAAGATTTAAGTAGTTTAATTGAAAGTTCTAAGATATTTACACTGTTATTTAATTAAAAATTAACAAAATGATTTTTTAATTTTTTTCATTTCTAATGTCATTGATTATATAAGGAACGAATGAACTTTATTGAACTTAATTAACCCAACTTGTTATAGACTCTGTTTTTTTTTTGTTTGGGACTTTTGCTATCCTTATAGATGGTCCTTAAAACGTTTTGGAAGACAGTTTTGAAAGATTTTCAAAAGAAGGATGCAAAGGAGGCACAAAGCACAAACAGAGGCTAAGTTCTCTAGGATTTACTTCTCTATCTATGTAGTTAGTTTATTTCTTGTTCGTACATTGAATTCTAACTTGTGTAATAAGATTGTGAGAAAATAAAAGTTCTATTTCTAGAGTTACAACTATAGTATGAAAATCATATTCTAGTTATCAATTGTTATTGCAGATTCTATCATATATGTATTGTTCTCTTAATCTTATACCTGACTGTTAATTTGTTGCGTAGTCACTAATAGGATAAACGGATAATTTGTGGTAGAACTTGACACAAAAAAACTGGTAATAGAATGTAGGTTAAGGGAAGTAGGGGTTCATTTGCGGATAGATTAGCAGCTACGTCAGAAGTGTGGCTAGTTTGACCTGCTCGGATCAAGTACAAGAATATATAAATGCATTCAAAGCGGTTTACTAAATCCCTACTCAACGATGTAGATGTGAGGCAAATCAAGGTAGGTGATTATACAACTCGAAATACTATGACAATTTTATCAATATTGTGATTCATAATTTGGTAGATATTATAAAACATGCTTAACAGTGAAATTATATATGATGGAATTACGCAAATGCCATAAACCTAGGTTTTATCTTCTAAATTTGGATCATGATGATACCTACTATAATTGTCTAGTAGTCAAGCTAAAACTCAAGACAAAGAAAGGAACAACACTACACATTAGGGGTGTGCAAAAACCGATTTAACCAATAAACTGAATCGAAAAAAACACTATTGGTTTATTGATATTGGGTTATTGGGCTAACGGTTTTTAAACGGTTTTGCAAACTTTTTTATTGGGTTATTGGTTCGGTTTCCGGTTTTATAATTTTTGTTAATGGTTAAACCGATAACCCAATAAGACTATACTAAATTTACTAGTCTTATTGTTAATGGTTAAACGATTGTTACTTTCACACTTTTTCCTTTGAATGTGTCTAGTGTCTAAACTTGCAAGAAAAATGATTGTTACTTTTATGATTATTACTTTCATGCCAAATGCTGGAAAAATCATATGGTTTATTTGAAAATTTTCTTATTGTGTATATAATATATATGAGTATTTTCTTATTGGTTAAACCGAAAATCGAACCGTTAAGTACCATAAGCCGATTAACCAAAAACCGATAAGAAATATGTTATTGTTTGGTTATCGGTTTGAAGTATTTACAAATCGAAAATCGATAAATCGAACCAATAACACCTAAAACCGAACTGAACCGACCGATGCGCACCCCTACAGTAAACATACAATAAGAAATACTATAGATAACTAAGCGCAAGCAACAATAAGTTGCAAATGGGCCCGCATAATATATACAAAATCATACATAAAATAGGGAGATAAGTCATATGTAGTCCCTTAAAGTTGTCTGCACATTTCATTTAGACACCTTAATCTAGCCTTGTACCTATTAAACACTTAAATCTTAACTAATTTATACTTATTTAACACAAAATGATAATCAATAAAAAAAAACAATAATGTGTGCATCTCAATCGCATATACATAGCAAATGGACTAATGAGATAACGACACGTGGCAATTGGATTTTTTTTTTTTTAAATCTATTTAAATAATACAAAACAATTTTTAAGAAAATATAATTTTATATTTGAATTAACCCACCCCCACCCCCTTCTTCTTCTTCTTTTCCCCTTTCCACTGGGTCGCCTGTGTGCCTCAACCCCTCAACCATCAGTAAATCATTGCCTACGGTCTTCTTCGTCGCACCTTGTTTCTCTTTCCATTGGGCCATTGCGCCTCAAACGCCGATAAACCATAACATCCACCCGTTTCTTTTTCTCTATCGAATCCTACCCCTAAAACCGACATCGATAATACACCATTGCTGTCCATCTAAGTTAACCCCTCATTTATCTTTCGTTCTAATAGAATCAAAACATTCCATCAATTCTCTTCATCTTCTTTCCATTAGTGAACATTTATCACAATAATAAGAAAATAATAGACGTTTTTCGAAAAAAATAATCAATTGCTTCGCTGGAAAACCATTTTCATCTTAAACAATGGAGTTTCGCCGGAATATTATTTTCATCGGAAACAATAGAGCTTCACCAAAATATTTGAGACTTTAATCTGATCTACATAAAATAAAATTAAAAAAAACGAAAAAGCAGTAGACAAATTAAAGAGGGTGAGGGAGAGGTGGAGGGGGTGGGGTGTGTAAAGAGACATGGAATAGTTGCAGACGAAGATGAGAAAGACGTTCCTTCCTTTTTTTTCTTTTTTTATATTAATTATTATTATTTAATAATTTAGCTATATAAGTTGGAAAGAAAAAGAAAAAGATATTATTTCTAATTGTTTTCACGCGTTTTAGGAGAGTGAACTACACTTTTTTTGCCATGTCAGCATTTTGTGTCTAATAGGAATCACTTTTGAACATATAAAGTGTTCAATAGGTACATAGCTAAATTGAGGTGTCTAAGTGAAATATGCGAACAACTTTAAGAGTCACATATGACTTAAGCCTAAAATAGGGAAAATGGTCAAAATGCCCTTAAACTATGTGAAATGAACAAAAATGTCCTTCGTTTATAGTTTGACTCAAAAATGCCCTTGTCGTCAATATTTTGGTTTCAAAAATACCCTTGCAGTCAATACTTTTGTTCATAAATGCCCCTATAGTTACTAAATGGATAAAAAATGTTCATTTCTGAATAAATATTTTTTTTTTCTTTATAAACATATCTTCTTCCTAGTTAAAATATTATTAAAGAATATTTCTTATTTTTTTTTCTTTTAAAATCACTTTAATTTTAACAAATAAAAATATAGGAAATAGTTTTTTCTTCTTAATTTCATTTTATCAGTTAAAATAGATTAACTTCATGTACCCTTTCGATAAATGATATATGTCATATATATAAGATCATAGTATATCCATCATTAATTTATATTTATATAACGATAAAAAATAATTATATTAAAATAAGAAATATTTTCAGTTTTATTCTAAATTGAAGTAAGATAAACATTTGCTAATTTAAAAATATTTTATTAGAAAAAGAATGTGTTAAAAGAAATAAATAATATATTTATTTGGAAAATGAGCATTTTTGACCCATTGAATAACAACAAGGGCATATTTGGACCAAAATATTGACGACGAGGTCATTTTTGGACCAAACTACAAACGGAAGACATTTTTGTTCCTTTCGCATAGTTTAAGGGAATTTTTTTTACCATTTTCCCTTTAAAATATATAGAATGGGTCTAAAAGAGACCGAGAAAGATGAAATATAAACTTAGGAACCAATTCCAGACATGGTGTCACTAATACAAAAGCATCTAAAGTACAAGATTAGAGTTATACAAAACATGATTGTCTACAAAATACAAAATACAAAATATAGACAAAATATATTGAAGGAAAAGAAGCAAGCCTCCGGATGGCAAGAGCTCACCACAGTCTGGACAACAGAAGCACCTCGAACGAGTGAAGATCAACAAGGATGACTCATACTATAAGCATTGCATCAAAAAAGTGCAGAAGTGTAATATGAATATCAAAACATGGGGTACTTAGTAGGCATCATAGGCTGATCAAGCTCAAAAGACATTATTATAAATATAAGAAGCATGATATTATTAACACTATAAATAAAAAAACACAAGAAAAATCATACTTGTGGTTTAGGTTCATAAGGGACCTCTAGCACTAAGTCGAGTTCAACCGTTCCTACCGGCTAAGTTTTTCACATTAATTCATGCAAGAGTTAACTTCAAACAATCAAATCTTTTAGAATATAACAAATTAGGTGGCTTATGCACTATCAAATTAAAGATATATAAGTCGTTTTTTCCAACTCCGCCAAGTTTGCATCAATCTGAGTTTGGAGTAAAATGTTATGACAGTAGAGTTTTCAGAGCCTAATTTTAACGAGTCACATTTATGGATATTAAATTGAAGTATGGACCATAAATGGGGCTCGTACAATCGAATTTTAAAAACTAAATTCTTGGCATGATTTTCATAGATCCAACTACGGGTCATTAATTTAACTACGGGCCATAATTTGGGCCCGTAGAATAAAGACGTCAAACTTATTTTTTGTCTGATTTTCATAGATACAAGATCAAATTACAAGACGTAATTTGTCACGATCCGATTTCTCAGGTCACGATGACACCTAGTACATCCCACTAGTAGGTAAGTCTAACCATTAGCCCGAAGCCATAAGCAACGAGCTACCAAGCGGAAGCCAACAAGAAGCAAAAAATTTATATCAAGCAAAGAAAGAATAATCAAAAGAAAATAATATAGGAACCATCCCAAGACCTGACATCAGTCAGTAGTTGAATGTCTAATCCAAAATAAGAGTACAATGCTTCTACAAATGTAAGATAAAGTATTTTTACAAAATTTAATGAAAAAAATAATTAAATTGATTGAGTAAATTTCTAAGTGAAATATAAATAGTTGGTGACTTTCTAAGTGAAACATCAATAGTTGAGTGACTTTTGAGTTATAAAACAAAGTTGAGCGACTTTCTAAGTGAACAACTCAAAGTTGAGTGACTTTTTAAGTGAACTATTCAAAGTTGAGTGACCATTTGATATATTAACT